GATGTAATGGTACATTTCTCCAAATCTGTTCTGATGAAGAAACAAACTCATCTACATCTCGGATGGCCTGAGGGTAAATACATTTTTAGCAAATTTTTATTTTGGGGTGAACTATTCATTTATTACAAAGGTTACAAAAAGAAACAAAACGCCAAACTACAAACCACAAGTGCACGAGTGGCACTGCACAACACAATGGATGGGTTTACTTGCGTGACAATTTACTTGTTCAGTGGGGTCGTGCAGATATCCTCTCTCTAACGGTTCAGCCGCAGTGTTTGGCTTCCAATCAGCTCATAACTAAATAAAACAGGCTGTGTGACAATGAGGAATGCCAATGATCACCCCACTGTGTGCCAGCAAACAGCTAGATTCTTTTCCTTTGAAATTCTCTTGGAAATCTGAATGTTTTTGTCACCTCTTAGTAGGGCATTCCTCATTTTTTATATATGATTTAGGAGATATATCTTGTCCATTTTATAAACAGGGAACGAAAAGGAGCAGACGAGTGAAAGGGATCAGGGAATGGAATGAGCCAGATTTGCACTCGGGTCGCTTGCATCAATTTACAGTATGCGTATCACTCTGAAATACATGAAGGGTAAATATATGTCAGAGTATTACATTCTGCTAGCAAAGTGTCTTTGAGTGTGACATGAGAGTGCTGCTTCACAGAAAAAGGGGGACAAATAAATGCAGGAGTGTTACCGAGAGATAACTAAATGAGAGCACACACACGCTTACACTCACACTCTCCCTTGTTCGTGTGTAGGTTTCAATGATTCTGTCAAAATCATAAGAGGCACTTCTCTATTTGAGGAACAACTGAAGTCTCAAAGCACCTGTAAAACACACATAATTAGTGTTCATTTTCTCACAGTAAATGACACGACTCGCTGGCGGGCTAATGGTTCCTTAGGTGAATGGGCATTTCACTGGATGTGATAATACCTGGATGATGGTTTTGTTCACTGATTGTGTATGGGCAAGTTAGAGGTGTAGTTTTTCTCACCAAAGCGAAGTCTTTGTTCAGGATCATTTGTTCCATCAGAGAGGATTCATTGTGGAAGAGATGAGGCTGCATATGACTCCACATATGAGGAAACCACCAGAACTCATCAACATATTTCAACAACAGATCATCTCCATCATCTTCCTCCTGCGTACCTACACAAACAAACATGAGCTCATTAGCATACTGGGCATTTCCTTTGGGCCTGTGGAATTGAAAAAAATAAACATTCCTACATTTCTAAAAATCTTAAATTCCTAAAACTCTTAGTCAATGTCTAATGGCATCATGGAAGAACGAATGTCATTTCCATTGCAGTATCACTTCCACCACAGCTCAAACATTTATTTAGTTTAATAGGATTCTGTGGTGGAAATGATGGTGAGGGAAATATCATTTTAGGCTCCTTTGTATTGCTAAAGCTAATATCTAGTTTCATAGTATTTATGTATACATAGCATTTTACGTATTCTTATACAATTAAATATTTTCAATTTTTATATAATTTGACAAAATCAGATTTAATTGGATATTATGCTACACACACACACACACACACACACACACACACACACACACACACACACAAAGTTCGAAAGTATTTTAAAGATTTAAAGTCTGGGTCTGCAAACTGTAAGCATTAAAAAGTCCAACAAAAATACATATTTCATTACTTGAAATAAAATTAAACTAAATTAACAAAAAATAATCAACACTTTAGTATAGGGACCAATTCATATTTCTCACTATTAACTAGTTGCTTATTAGCATGCCTATTATTAACATATTGGCTGTTTATTAGTACTTATAAAGCACATATTCTGGATGGCTATATTCTACATCCCTAATCCTAACCAATACCTGAACTTAAAGGTGCAGTAGGAGATCTTGGAAAATGCTAACTTTAGCCTGATAGCACTGAAAGCGAACGTCCCACCCTCCCTGCAATCACCGTCCAAAGCCACGCCCCCTGAACGCATATACGCTCACAGACCTGAATACCAGAGACAACATTACTACAATAGGCTACATCAGCGGTTCCCAATTCCAGTCCATGTTCCGAAGTAAACTTGAACGGATTTCCCCTGCTCAGGGAGTAGGGAGCAATGAACACTGTGTAGGGATCATATAGATCGGAACACAGTCCATGCACGTAGCTCCCTTCTAACAAACTGGTTATCTGAATCGGGTGTGTTAACTAAGCGAGACACACAAAATATGCAGAGTGGGGCAGCGCGAGGACTGGAATTGGGAACCGCTGGGCTACGTGCGTGAACGCGCTGATGACGTATCCTGTCTGCGCGAACCGGGTATGCTAATACAGAGGTATGCTAATACATATATTGACAAGCAGGTAGGAAAGCCAAGCGGACCGAGTGTTTTGATTGGACGAACATTTCTTTGTCCTACGCCTTTCACAGAATATATAAATACAGATAAAGACATTTAGACCACTTAACTTAATGATTGCTATCGGGATGTGAAGAGACTTTCAACCAGCATAACAAAAAAATTTTCTGAAGACAATCACATATTGCACCTTTAACAACTACCTTACTATTAATAAGCAGCAAATTAGGAGTTTATTGAGGCAAAAGTTGCAGTTAATGGTATGTTAATAGAGGGAATTGGACCTTTAAATAAAGTGTGACCAATAAAATATAAATACACTTAAACTTATTTAATTTCTTATATACTTATTTAATAGGTTGCCAAGGCAACACTTAAAAATAATGCTGATTTAAAATATTGAAACCTAAACTAAAACTAAAATCCATATAGACATATATAAAAAAAACTCTTGAACTAAACACTTTAACTAAAGTATCAATGATACTAAAATAACACTGGTCTCTTCCTGTCTACGTACGTGGTTCTTGTCTAGAATAAGCTACAATTTGCTAAAGTAATCAGTGACACTAATATAAACTTAATTTAGTTATCCACACACACACACACACACACACACACACACATTTAAAATATTGAAACCTAAACTAAAACTAAAATCCATATAGACATATATAAAAAAAACTCTTGAACTAAACACTTTAACTAAAGTATCAATGATACTAAAATAACACTGGTCTCTTCCTGTCTACGTACGTGGTTCTTGTCTAGAATAAGCTACAATTTGCTAAAGTAATCAGTGACACTAATATAAACTTAATTTAGTTATCCACACACACACACACACACACACACACACACACACACTTCAAAAATAGAACATGTGAACTCTAACAAGATGAACCAGAGAAACTTCAGAGTTGCTATGGCAGAGTTCTGTTACCATGCCAATCAGAATATTACTTTTTATAGCAGTGTGATCATGTATGTTGTAACCAATTAGTATTTACAGTTTATCTTTTAACACATTTTATCTTTTAACACACACATAGTTACCTGTATGGAAGAATTTCCCAGAAAATCCCAGGTTAAAGGTGAAGTTAGAAATGTACGACCTCAGCATGTTCTGTGTTTCTAGAAGAGCCTGGAAGATAAAAACATCAAACATTAGAAGCTGAAGATTGCACTGTTGACTGCCTATCCACTGCTCAGTACTTGTCCATTCATCCATTATATATCAATCAACCATAATATACACCACAATATTGAACTTTTTGAATTAACATCATGCGGTAGTATATGTGTGCACGGTCTGAATATATGCATATAAGGATGTGATCGATCTTTCCGGGATGAGTAATGGCATTTGGGTTTGGCAGGTGCCTCCTTGCAGCAGTTCCAATAAAACAGTCTAATATATTTCTAGCCTAAGACACCATGCAAATACAATCAATATCTGTCTGACAACTGACAGTGAGTGTGAGCGTGTGTGTCACTGTTTTGTAGGATATATGGTAATATCGCAGAAGGCAGGAAGGGGCGTGTTGGCTGACTTAAACGGTGTCATCAAGTCATTACTCACAGAGCTCGGGAAGATATGCTGACACACACTCCGGCACACAGGCAGACACACACGGACGGGACCCAGGAGACACATGTAATATATTTGATTTTATCCTCCAGTGAGAGTGTGGCAGTTATCTCTGATGACATTTTGGTAATTAATTCCATTTACATTCAACTAAACATCAGCAACAAAATCAGCACAGGTACTCGCATCCTGGTAATCAAATCAGCTTGCCCACGTGACTGTGTGCCAGTCTATGTGCGCTTTGCATCTTAACCTAATAGAGTGGCATTTTGATCGAGCGCTCATTAATTTAAAATGATCTGGCCTCATCTAATTCAATGTTCATGCCGTAATGTGATATTACTAAAACGGAGGCTTTTGGTGAGATGCCTTTTTGAATATTGAGCGAAGTGTGTTATGTGTTTTTTGGGAGGTTCAGCCTGATGTTCGATGGCTCGTGGCTCAGGAAGCAAGGTAAAGGGGAGTGAGTAAGATAAACCTGTGAGTAAGTTACACCAACTCTTGCATCAAGGTATCTGTATCTGTATGTTTTTTTCATGTGATCATATAAACAGGAAGTATCCATCAGTATTTAAGCACATGGCAAATGGACTATGTACACTGAAAGAAATTTGGTGTCGAAACAATTTTCACTCAGAAATTGCTAGTAAATTTTGCAAATGATTACAAAGAAACAGCAAGTAACACATTGAATTAAAACATTACATTTTTATAAGTATATAAACTGAAGTTTTTTTTTTAAACATTTGAAGTTTTAATGACTTCTTTGCCAAAACATTTGATTGGTTTCAGCAACCTATTTGAATTAAAATTAATTTATTGCAATAACGGCCTTGTTTATGATATTTGGAATTAATAAGAGGACCTAAAGGAGTGGAGTTTTTTTTTGTCTACCTACTGTATATGTTTTTTATAATGCTTAAAATGTAAACATTTTTTTTGGAAAATTTTTTGATATTTGCTTTTTGTGGTTGACCCAATTTTTCCATCACAATGTACAATATAAATATTTACAATGTAAATATTGTAAGAATATTTACGTAATAAAAATATAATAAAAATGTATATAAGTAGTAAAAAGCATCAGAGTCAAACTCTATGTGGTTTATTTTATATTAATATACATGTAAAATAAAAAGGTAAATAAATTAAATAAATTAAATCATAAAAGAAAGGAAGACAATTACTATATTATAATTAATAAATAGATTACAGCAAAAAAAAAAAAGAAATATAAGAAATAATGTATGTGGAATTTTACTTTACTTGAAAATTTAAATTGATTAGTTCATCAAAAAAGCCATATGTTTGTGGCATTCTGTCATAAATTAATTTTGAATTTATCCAATGAGAGGCTTGTTTTAACCAATGATAACAGACGCCTTAAAAAGTGACAACAAACGGGACCTCATCTTACCCTGCAAAATGTAGATGGGATGTATTCTGTTGCAGGAGTGAGAGGGAAGAGTTCAAATAAAAGAAAGAGAGAGAACACATTTAATATTGATGTGGGAATCTGGGATGTTGGGAATCTGACATCATAAGATAAGAATGCCAAGTGCAGGAGAGATGGGAGGGGAATGACAGGATGAGAGGAGAGAGTGAACCTGAAATTGATGACAGAAGGAAAAAAGAGATAGACAGAGCTATTCTAGGAGATTTTTAGACACAAAGTTTCCTGTTCTCTAAGCAAGCCGTGACATGCGCACACACGCATAAATTGCAAAACTCTTCCAAAATGTGACTCTAAAATAGCAACACAAACAACAAACATATCAGAAAAGTTACCGAAACTTCCTCAGCTCATTTCTACAGTCTGCAGCACCACTGTCAGGGTCCTCTTGATTAAAATGCAACAAACTGAGCTAAATTAATTATTTAATGGTTAGGTTTTAAACAGCTCTGTCTTAAATCGATTCCTTACATTTACTGCGCACACTTCAAAAGAGTGCACATGCATCATTAATGCATTAATAAGCCAAAGAAGCAGCTTCATAATGGCATCATAGTTCTGATGCTTCCCGTCAGTTTGGAGATGCAGTGCACGCTGTCATAAGAGCCAAAAATAGTTTATTTTGAATAATCTGTGTTTTATTGTCATTTATAATAACCAAAACCTTCACATGCTTTACTCCAGTATGATATTATTTCTGGTTTTGAGGTTTGAGGGTTACTGTAAATTTTGAGCCTTTGGCTTGGACTACATTTTTATAAACCAGTCTTTTGGGTCTCACTCCAGGCAGTTTATGGTTAAGGGTGTTGATGGGGTTCAGCCTATGATTATTTGGTGAGAAGGTTCTTCCAGGACAAACAAACAACGTTAAGTCTGTGAACCTAATTAACACATTGTGCAAAGTGTTCACATGTACAGGATTTATCACAACAGTTTTGCACTGGGTGTGAATTACAAGGAGGTTTAGGGAGGACTAGAGGGATCTAGATCATCTAATTAAAGAGGAAATTGATGTTATGCAATTGATGTCAAAATGAACCATTTAAAAAACATATATGCTTAGCAGCCTGAATTTTACATATTAAGTTTAAACAGCTTGTGAAGCTTAATATAATTAATATATATCATATTATAACAATACAATATAATTTCATCCTCCCCTATGACACTGCCTGAGCTGTCTAATATATAAATGCATAGAACAAAATGTCATGGAAAATTCTAGATAATAAACCACTCAGTGAAATTGGAATGGGTAGAATTGTATCTTATAATGCATTTGCCACATCTCGCTATGAAGCTTACCAAAAGTATTGTTAAAAATATTTAAAACTATTTTTTTGAAAAATAGGCTAATACTATCATCTGCTGAAGCAGCATATTTCGTTTACAAAGTAACCACAAAAGTTTCAAACCTTCAGAAGAACAAGACTAACCTCCACAGACTGTGTCCTGAAAATTTATTTTATTTAAACTACAAATAAACAGTAAATATTTGCACCTGATATTTAATATTTGATTTTATATAATCTAACTTACGTTTTTAGCATTATTCATGTTAAAATATGCTGCTTCAATAAATGATAGGGTTAACATATTTATAGTTTGTTATTCCACAACACTCTGGATAAACTTTATAATCTATAAACATCAGAAAAACATATATATATATATATACATATATATATATATATAAAAATGATTTTAAAAAAAGATTGACAATGAAAGTATGAAAGATTCAAAAAAGATTTTAAAAATATTTTTAAGTAATCAAAATGTAATCTTTTAAAATCTCTCTAATGTTTCTAACTAATCAAAAATGCCATAAAATATATTTCTGCATAATTTGTAATTTTTCATTGGCAGTTTTCTTGAATAACTGAAGTGCATAAGGGAAATATATCTAAAATATAAATCAACAAATATTTGTAACTTGTAAATACCAACATCAGTCACTAGGAATGGGTGTTTCTGCCAAGATTACGACTGGCATCACTTCTATGGCCTGCACTAATCCAGATGCTGTGTCTGGGTACTAGTGGCATTGGAAAATTGCCATTGGCTTTCAGAAAAAACACATACACAAAAGCCTCATTCCCATACTCACAAGCTGTCTTTGCCAGCTTCAAATAGAGATCGCACACATCTCTTTTTAAATAATTTTTAAACTTATTGTCTTTGGTTGACCTAAAATGCCTTGGATGAACTGAAGTGGTGGAATCACTCATTTGAATTCATTAATCAGCTTCACCCTAATAAGTAACCGCATACGCTCCGATCCACTGAGCTAGTAATCAGACAAAGTAATCAGAGCATACAATGATACGGTTTCTTCAAGGAAAGTGCATTCTACTGACTTTTTCTCCACAGAAATTTAATCAGTGCCCTTAAGATGTAATGGAGAGATGTATAATTCACTTGCTCAATGCAGGTGTGCAGTACAAATGGACAGTTTCATAAGATTTATTTTGCAGAATTGTCTTTAACTGAAGGCAATGTTGAAATAAAAGTTCAATATTCTTGCATAAAATAGACTTCATTAATATAATACTGGAGAGTTTCATAAAAACAATTTTTGAAAAGTAATATTTAGGGGCTTCTTTTCCTGGAGGCAACACTATGTGACAATGGAAAGAAATTAATCAAACTCTTTGCCATTGCTTAATATGAAACACTGCTACATGACGCAAACTAATGAAAATTGTCTTTTTTATTTGATTAAATGCCAAGTAAATACTAAGAGGTAGATATTTAATAATGGACGATGAAAAAAACCCCATCTGAATACTAATCATGCTGGCCTTCGTTATGTTCATATCCATTAGACTGTCGCACAAATTGCTTCTAGGAAAAAATATATATTTAAAGAATTTGCAAATAGCATACAATTAATTTAGATTAAATGTTTGAAATTGAAGTTTACTCATTAACAAATGTGAATATGTCACACTTTCTTTACTGACCATATTATTGTTATCGTATATGCGTCGTGTTTACAAAGCAAAGAAAATTTGGTGCAAAGTTTGTTACATATTGTTCAACAGAAGGTTAACAGAGACAGTCAATGTGTCAAACTGATATGTAAGTGCTTTTTTTATTT